GTTGCCAGGTCCCTTAGTTTTATCGAGGACTACATAAGAGATCAAGTACTGCCTCACTATGGCAACACTCACACAACTACAACAGTGACGTCACTACAAACAACCTTGTATCGACATGAGGCAAGGTACCCATTACTGTACATATCGACCTTTATTTTTACGTCAGAATAATCACTGATAGTCATCCCAGAGGGAGCATATCATCTTGTCAGCAATGATCCACTGTGTCCATACCTCTCCTTTAGAGGAGCATAGCTGCTAGGACATTTACGAATGCCCCTACATCTTGGAAGTTCTGAACTAATTAATACTTATTGATTACAATTAATATATTTGTGGTAATGACTTATTTTAGAGATATCATCAGAAATGCAGTCAATGCTGGAGAGAGTGATGCTGTGATTTTTACTGGTAGTGGATGTACAGCAGCAGTACACAAACTCATTCATGCACTTCACTTGAAGCAGYCTCCGGTATGGTATATAGCTGCTGTAGTCTGTATCTGATGGTGATCATTATTCACTATGAGATATATGTACCTRTCTATCTTAACCACCCTCCCCTCCCCCCAAATAAAATGACACCCATTGGGATGTACATAAAGATGGCTGTCATGAATATGGAAATTAAATGTCCCCAGATGAAGAGGACCAAATAATTGTACCGTATGTCATTGTAATACTAAGACACTATAGATTTGTTTTATACTTATATTCATTTGATGTCTTAGATTGTATTCATTGGGCCATTTGCACACCATTCTGCCATATTGCCTTGGAAAGAGGCTGGTAGTGAGATTGTGTGGATTGAGCAGAATGAACAAGGGACTGTTGACCTAACAGACTTGGAAGACAAACTCAAGGTAATTACAAATTATAAAGCTTAATTTGATATGTGAGTTAGTCGTGCTCAGTCCAGAGTTTGTTTCCGAGGTAAGAGGTGAGCATTTTACCACCACTCAAGATTGTCCTGACTTCTCTAACACAAATTCATGTATTTTCTATTTTCTCCAGAGGTTCCGCACAGCAGGCAGGCAAATGATTGGTTGTTTTGCCGCAGCATCTAATGTAACTGGTATATTATCAGATACTAATACAATAACTGCACTACTACATCGCAATGGTGCTCTTGCATTCTGGGATTATGCAACTGCAGGTAATGCAAAATTGGATCCTATTCTTTTCTTTCATCATTTCCCATATTTATATATTGCTTTCATAGTTCTACATTCCATATCAATCTTTGTTTTTTACAGGACCRTATGTAGATATCAATATGAATCCACTGGTTACGAGGTAARGTACTYKCTAAAAGAAKKTGTGAACAGGTGACCATTTAGTAAGTGAAATGATTATTGTTGTTATTTTTGTTGTCTTTTGTCTTTTTTGATAGTGATGACCAAACATTGGTTTACAAAGATGCCATGTTCTTGTCAGCACATAAGTTCATTGGTGGTGTAGGAACACCAGGTACTGAGCTGGACATTAATTTCTTTCTTTACAGCATGTGTGATATATTCATTTCTGAGGCCCCGTCCACGCTATGCCAGATAAATTTGAATCTGCAACTTTCACACCGAAAACAAAAAAAGAGTTTTCCGTCCACACGTGAAAACGGAGAAAATGTTTCACATCCACACTAGTCTGATCAGAGGCGGCAAAAACACTACATTGCACATCTGAGCATGCGCATCAAAGCTGAAATTGAGCCAGCGGTGAATTGTTAGCCTTCTCGCCAAGTTCCCATGACAATCAAATAGTTCCAGATACGAAATGTTCTCCATCCACACTAATACGGCTAGACGGTGTTTTCAAATTCAATAAAATTGCTGGTTGTTCAAATTTATCCGGCATAGTGTGGATGGGGCCTGAGGTATATGATCTTTAGGAGGCCCTGCAATAATCCTCATTTGCTGGCCATTTTTGTTTCAGGAATTTTGATTGCCAAGAAGAAGTTGTTTMAAAATCCTGTCCCCTCGGGATGTGGAGGTGGCAGTGTGTTCTTCGTGAGTACCACTAAACAAATCATGTCTTTCATTGACTCCGACGAAGGACTAACGTCCGAAACGTCAGTTCCTATTTTCACTACAGTGTATAACTTATCAATCTACGATAACTAAATCATGTCTTTCTTTGACTTCAGAGTAATGAAAAAAACAATGAAATCACTGATGGATAAGGTTCATATATTTATTGTTTTGTGCAGGTMACTGAAAATACCCATCGGTATCTTAAAGAAACAGAGACCAGAGAAGAAGGAGGGACTCCAGCAATAGTTGAATCTATCAGAGCAGGATTGGTGTTTCARCTCAAACAGGTGAGAGAAAATAAGAAGACTGTATACAAGTATTYATATTTTTACTAATGAGTACACTTTATGACAGGCTGTGGGACATGATACAATTATGTCTAGAGAAGAGGATCTCTGCAGGTAAAACATGGTCTTTTTTCCCAACCCTTTGTTTTGTCTATTTTTCAATTGCCATCAAACTTTTTTTTTGGTTTCAGGAAGGCATTTTCAGCTTGGTCCAGTGTCCATAACCTTGTCCTTCTTGGTAGTAAAACAGCCAAACGTCTACCAATCTTCTCATTCCTTGTCAGAYATCCAGAGAGTGGCTTGTTTTTGCACTACAATTACATTAGTGCTTTATTAAATGATATCTTCGGCATCCAGTCACGTGGYGGGTGTGCCTGTGCTGGCCCCTATGCACAGGTGACTGAAATCATTTATGTTTTGTCTGTGAAAATCACATCTCCATTAGATATTGTTTCCTAATAAATGGATTAATRTGGATGTTGATATTTATCTTAATGAATAATAGGATTTGCTTGGAATGGATGAAGGTCTTGCGCAGGACTTTGAGTCCCTTCTTCTAGAGGACAGGTAATGAAAATGCTCTATTTTTCAACATGAAGTAAAAGCTAACCTTTTTATTTGTTTGTAGTCGTCTGGATAGAACACATCTTAGACGTTACAATGAATATTCAGAGCGTGAAATCTTGAGGTAGGTTTGTTATGAGGCACCCCTTGCTTTCATTCATTTATTGATATGTTACTCATTGTTCACCAGACCTGGGTTTGTACGCCTTAACCTGCCATATTTCATGTCAGATGATTATGCAGAGTTTGTTATCAAAGCTGTTACCATGGTAGCAGAACATGGCTGGAAGCTCCTCCCACAGGTACGATGACATAAGGCACTAATAAACCTACCTTTATAATCCTGAATAATGTCTTATCGATGTATAAATTCTTGTATTCAGAGCAAAGATTATTATAGATTGTACRAGATATTTCAACTGCATTTCAACGAATAATGACTGTGTTTGGTTCTTATCTTATTGGTTCCAATCTTTTCCTTATTTCTGCCTTTTTCTCCATACAGTATATGTTCAATCCAGAAACTGGAGAATGGAAGCACAGAAGGCATAAGGTAGTCTGGTATACTCCATACTGTAATGGGTTTCCTGTGTTTGTGAACGCTCTTTTACTCATTTCCATATTTGTTTTCTTCAGGTTTTCCGTGACCGAAAGTGGCTTGGTTCAATAAGCTATTCCAATGGTCACATGACATATCCACCCCCWGCAACACATGAAGAACCCCCCACAGATCTCCAGGTGACGTCATACATCTTGATGCTAACTCATTCATGTCAGTAATGGTACTCATGAATCTGATATTTTTGATTGTAGGACATTTTAGCGACAGCTGAGGAGGTATTCAAGAAAGCTGAAAAGGTATACCGTGCAACGCAAGCGATATTTGTCAGTACAGTTTTCCGTGGTATTAATGCGAGTGTTGTTCTTATTTCAGGCCGTAAATACTGTTAGTGACCACACCCTTCTTCTTGGTGAGGAAGGCGAGARGCTAAGATGGTTTCTATTACCGAGTGAAGCAGCAGCGATTTTATCTGGAGAAAAACCGTCATATTTCCCTAAATCACCTCCTTTTAGCCCGCCCGCATGGGACACAAGCACTGGCACTCGCATTACCAAGAAAATACTGAAAAAATACTGTGAAAATGCAGAGAAAATGTCAGTTGAATCAGAAAGTTGTTGTGAGAAGGATAAAAGGAATAAGAATCACAGGGAATTAAATGAATTAACACAGAAAGAATTTAATGACAAGGAAAACCAGATGAACWATACTGAAAAGCAAGATGATTATAAACAATGTGAACTGGATCAAAATATAACTTTTTCCGACAATAAACCAAAGCAGGGACTTTGTGATGGTAGAGAGAGTATAGATTCTGATCATAACGGGACTATAAACGAGGCTGATCAAGTAACAGGAGTATTGGCGATGAATGTTCAAGATTCCAGTGAAGAAATATCTGCTTCAAAAAGGGCTGACTGTAGGATATTAGGTGCAGCGTGTCCCTTAAGACAAAACATGAAAAAAGCTTCCGATAAGATTGACAAGAATGACCCTGTCACTGATGAGGTTGAACAGATACAYGAGAATGAGAAAGATGGAGTAGCCAAACCTATGTTTTTTCATCCTCCGAAAAGCATTTTTAAACCAACAATGGAGGTAATATTTGTGCACGTTACTTWGCTCTCCGCCTTCTTTCCCCTCTCTTTCTCTCTCTTTCTCTTTCTTTCTCCTTTCTTCTCTGCTTGTATTTGTTTGTTTGTTTAAAAATCGTTTCTTAACAGGCCATCAAGGAATACTCCATGATTAATAATGGCGATCGTGTGTTGGTTTGTCTGTCTGGAGGAAAAGACTCACTCACGTTACTTCACACTCTACATCAGTACAAGTACTGTGCAAAGGCCAAGGTATGGCAGCAAGARAACATGAACTATCATAGTTAAAATTCTCTTGATGGCTGTCAATCAGTCGGCCGGTTGGCCAGCCGACCTGTCAGTCAATCATTCAGTCGATTGTCAGTTCAGTCACCAGTCAGTCAGTCAAGTCAGGATAGCAGATCCCACCTTAATACTAGCTCCTTATGACGTRACTCTGACTCAAGCATGCTCCATGTTAAACTATCTGGGTCTAATCTTGCCTCTTTGTTCTTCATGTACCAGGGAATTGAGTTTGATATTGGGGCAGCAACAGTTGATCCTCAGTCAAGTGCATACGACCCCAGGCCACTCATTCCTTACCTGGCTGCTTTGGGAGTGCCTTACTTCTTTGAGGAACAAGGTAAAACTAACTCCACCTACCCCTCCCTTCCGACTATCTTTGTAAATTATATTTATTTACTAACTATTGATGTACTACCACTAGATATCATTCAACAAGCAGCAGATCTATCAGTCTGYGAGTCTATCTGTAGCTTCTGTTCAAGAATGAAGCGTGGACGTCTTTACGCATGTGCAAGGCGCGAGGGTTACAACGTGCTTGCCATGGGTCAACATCTGGATGACTTGACTGAAAGGTAAACAGGCATCCTTCCACTAAACAACAACATAAAGTAATATTTGGTTTTGCCTTATTTTTATTTTATTTTTTTCCCCCAGTTTTCTTATGTCAGCTTTTCACAACGGTTTTTTGAAGACAATGAAAGCTAACTACACCGTCAGGTACCTAAGCATCTGAAGCAAATCAATGTACTGTTATTTGTGGTTAGGCTGTGAAAAACAGTTTCATCCAATCACCAGCTTGCGCGCAAGTTCCCATAACCATCATAGAATCCATTGAGGTAAAAATAAGTCCCACCTGAGTGGAAGTGAATCGGAACGCAGATAACTCATATATCAGTCAAACCAAGTCCTTGCTGTTAGTCGTTATTGATGTTCRTGTGTTTATTTGTATTTTGATTGTTGTTTTTTTTGGTACTGACAGGGAGGGTGACTTACGGGTCATCAGGCCCATGGTTTACGTACGGGAAAAGGAGCTTCGACAATTTGCTGAAAAGGTACACTGTCTTCATTGTTACAGGGCGCGAGATATTCCCTTTCCCGTTAAGGCAGACACACGGTGCAACATTGCGCGCAAAATTGCAGACAATGTTGCGCAGGGCGCTAATTAGGTACCTAATAAGCGCCCTGATGTTGCGTCGTGTGACATGGCTCGCAACATCGATTGCCTGCAACATTGCGCGTGCACCGTGTGACGTCACTGATTTATTTATTTCAGGTGAAGTTGCCTGTTATTGCAGAAAATTGTCCTGCTTGTTTTGAAGCTCCTAAGGTTAGTAAAACAACCAAAATAACGATAATTATCAATAACAATAATTCGTTAACCTCATAATATTCAATGGTATTAGGAGAGACACCGCACCAAGCAGTTACTGGCAGCTCAAGAGCTTCTCTTCCCCAACATCTACAATAGCTTATTAACGGCTATGAAACCGCTCATGGCAAAGAACCGAGTGGGAATGGAATCTATAAGGTTGAACAGAACTGATGATGATGATGATGACTACCCATGAGCACCTTGTCCGTATTATTTTCTTTCGCCTTTTTTAAATATGTTATGATTATTTATTAAATTATTCAATGTAACCATTAACACAGCGATTGTCATTGTGGGTTTTATTCTGAAGACTACTTGCTTGAGAAAGACAGAGATACGTATTTTAACATTTTTAGGGGCGCGTCGAGTTATTTTCAAATCGCTCAGCAGTTTCCTATTCTACTGACGAAAACTGAGCTGCTGGTAATATCTAAACAGTGTAAGCAGTATGGTTCGATATATTTGCGGTTGTGTGGCGAAGCTGGATTATTGCAAAAAGTCTCAAAGTCTATCTTTATTTTTAAGGTATTTAGATAAATCTTTCAAAGTACGATTTAAAAATTACTTTATAATAAGCTATCGCCCGGGTTCTGTTTACTCTAATCTGAACCAAATGAGAGTAAGACTGGGCAAAGCAAGCAAACTAGTTGTACAGCAGATTGCGTTTTGTTTTTATTGTTAGAGAGTTGATTAAACTCTTCTTCTTAAGTATAGGATTTTCTCTGAGTAAGACTGAATCAGCATARACATGTACGTCTAACGTCATGTGATGTCATAATATGCATGCTTGGTCCTAGTACCTCTTGCCTGCGGGCTCAGGTTCGTTTTCAAAGTCATAAATATACGACCATTCYTGTTGGCCGTGAGGGTTGGGCTGATTACCATCATGAGTCACGTGTTTCCGTTGTAGTTTCTCCCTCATTGACAGTTGTACCTCTTCCACTTCCGGTTCCGGGAAGCAGTCATCATACTTCTCAGGGTCTGGTATGTAGCAACAGGCCTTGCAGGTTGAGTACTCGGATGGTTTTTCTTCCTTGACGTGTTTGTGGACTATCACGAAGTTAATGACTAGAGACATTATCATGATCATCTGCGCATGCGTAAGAATATACTTTAGAAAGTGWTGCATTGTGTTCCCATGCTCTCACGTGACAAATGAGTTAGAAGAGTGAACTTACCACACCGATGATAATYAAAATCCCCCCGACGAAGGCTGCGACAAAGTAGGGCGTAGCACCAGTTATCTGAATAACAAGTATGATTATTTATTAGATCTATGTCCAAAAAGTCAAATGTAGATCAAACTGTGACAAACGACAACTCACCGCGGTACAGAATTCAGTTAGATCTGTCCCACACACGACGTCTGTGTTGACGATATCATCAATACCTGTTGGGAAAACACTGCTTTATACGAGAACGAACTGCGCTAAAATGGTCAATATGATGCTTGGCTTGTGAAAAAAAGATTCATACAGGTTTCGTATGCCTGTGAAATGGTGCAGGTGAGCGTTCCGTGCCGTGCCGTGCTGTTACCGTGACGGTAATGTGTCAGAGCATTCTGATTGGATGAGCATTAACCTCCCTTGCTGTGATTGGTTCGACAAATATCATTTATTCTCGTGATCAGCCCCATGTGGACCGCACAGGTGGTATAGTGCAARGATACGTTACCATATTCCTTGAACTCGATGCAAGTTTTTCCGATTTGTTTAACGAGTTTGACTTGGCAGACAGCAAACCCTATCCCCATGAAGATGACAGGGAAGAGAAGAAGGGGTCCAACGATGGTCCAGATTAACCACACAATCATATGCCAGCCAAACAACTAAAAAAACGTTTAACGTTTATTATATACCACGAGTTAGTTGGTCAACTTCCACTATTTATTTGTATTGTTACATAATTACTACTGAAGAAAACGCGCGCGCGTGCTGTGTGCAGTTTTAAAGTACGTGGGGGTTGGCAGAACAAACGAGGGAAGTGGAAGCACGACGCGTAGCGGAGTMCTTGACACWTTTCGATCGATCTGCCAATCCCCAAGTGCTTTATAACTCCACAAACCTCCGCAAGCAATTTTTTYATTYCTTTTATAAAATACAAATTTCATGAATGACAAAACGGAAAGTGCGCGCGTTTAGTTTTGCAGACTGAAGGAAGAAAACCTGAGAATCCCTCGTAGGACAAGAGATTGAGACAAGAGATAACATACTTTTGCCGCATGGCGCGAGCAAACAGATATTACTTTTTTCATCTCCGCTTGTTGACATCTTTCTCGACTCCCATTTCTTCATCAAAAGTAGTAGTTAGTAAAACCTAAACCGTCGGCAAGCACTYTTACCAGACTTGAAGCTACTTACCATGAAAATGCAACAACGTCCAGTTAATTTTGATTTCCAACCAGTGTAGACAGAGTATCTCGTTCTTCCCGTAGCTGCTATACCATTGAGTAAAGCCATGAATCCCATACTGCCAAGGAATATCCCCAGAGCAAGTATTCCAAACCTCGCTGTGTCACTAAGAAAACAAAACACATATGAARAATGCCTCCTGTTCAATTTTACCTGCATGTGTTTTGAATTTGAAATTACAAAGTGAAGAAAAATGGACCAAACTATTGAAGTCCTCCTTGTCCTTTACGGATTTATCAGTGTTCATTTTCTAGAAGACTGGTTTGTTTACTGTAATCATTTTTTTTTTTTTTCTTATCATTGTTTAAATAAAAATAACCGAAGACCATACTCCCAGACCCGAATGCTGAAGCGTCGTATGGCAGCGCGAAGCATTTACGGCTATGCCAGAGATTTCGACCCCAACACCGCTATCCCCGGGAGGAATTACAGCCTGATCAGGAAGCTCGGCAAAAGCCTAAGGGAGAGGTTAGTCGGCCCCTAGACCGTARATGATTAACCCCTTGCTATGACCAGBAGACCTGGTGTGTCACTTTTGTCGATGATGGGTAGACACCCACAATCAAAGCTTTCCGTGTGGGATGCGTTTTGAAAAACTATRGCCGCGATGTGTATCAACGCGCAAACTCAGTTGCGTCGTTTTTCTTTTTCTTTGTGACCATTTAACAGAAAACATTTAGAAATCCAAATACTCTGCACCTTAATATGAAATGACGATTATCAAATAAAGTTCATGCTCATGAAAGACAAAAAATAGCAAAAGAATATGAGATTTTCTGGAGAGAAGTAGTAGTATGTTCTACAAGTAAGAATTCATTGGTAAAAAAAGGTACTCACATGATACTCATCTTGAGCCATTTGTTAAGATGAAAGACCCCTTCATACAACCCAATGCTAAACCCTGTGAAACCGAGGGCAAGCCAGAATGCTGCGATCAATGAGACGACGGGAATACGAGAACAACAGATACAGAAGCACTGCCAACACGACTTGCTGCACACTGCAACGAACAAAATACAAAGTCAGCCACATGGCAATCATAAGCTATATATATGGAACAAAATGACTTGCGATATTTTTGTCAGTCTGTATATTCACCGAGGGGAACTCATTTCATGTGCAAAGTTATTCACTAGTTCATCAGTCTGGCATTCTCAAGATCCAAAAMAAATCAGCTGTTACAAAGCTCTTTACACATTTGAAGCTTGAACGACATTTTGGAGTTGATACTATATACTGAGCGCAGATGAACTTAGTAATACTGGGAAACTGGACTAGTGTTCAGTGACTGAAACAGGAAAGTATTTAGCGTTTTGTTGTSCTAATCAAGTGTCTGGTTCAGTTTGGACAGTAATGATACAGCGGCCGAAGCAGCGTCGAAAAGTGGCAGCAATTCGTTTGAGCATCTCCAAGACTTTTCCCCAAACACATTCGAATAATAATTTTATAATAAAATGGTGAAGTTTTCAGTTAATTTTTACACAGATTTGACTACTATTTAGTTCTTCAATCAGTTCTTTTTCGACRCCCGACTCTGTTTTCTCGCCCGAGTAATATAGCGTTGCTGCTTGCAACCTTTTTATAACATGTTCAACATTGTTTATAAACTTCTCTCGAAAGTCTACTAGTATTCCCCATAATATTGTTATAYTTTTTATGTTGTACTGATGTCTCAGAGATACCACAAAGGCTGTTTATTCTCCTTTTGGTAGTGAAATTAAACATGGAAATGGTAAGAACGGTAGAAAAAGAGGTTTTGTGCAGGTGAGTAAAGCATCGACTCGGATGCGTATTTCATCGAAGATGGCATGGATGGATGCACAACTCCTCAAACTCTATCGCATTCTTTTTACATTCAATCCACCACTAACCTGCGCTTTTTCGTAGATTCAAGCAATATTCCTTCGTCCAGCCAAATTTGACCAATCCTCGTACAAACACTTTCTTTGGGTCGATATCCTTAATTTTCCTTATATCTGGGATATTTGACGTATCAAATGGTAGTTTAACAGGTAAGTCTATAGGCGATTCCAGATTGATTCCTCCAAGTTTCACCATCTTTACTCCTCAGTTCTGTAGAGCCGTATTTAGCCGATTATTTTCTCCCTCAGAAGTGAGATTAAGTAAAGTTCTTAGTGTTAGCGGCTGCAAGCGAACACCGCCCTTGCCTTTCCATCCATGCCACCTGTAGACCGGCGCGCGGCCACCCGCCAAACAAACATCAGATCATCCAAAAGAATGAGCGTGCGAGTCGTATTGCGCAGGCGCAGTCAAACACGATCTGGCGGGAATATCAGTCACAATATTTACAAATGATTTTTTTTTATTAGTTAGTGTTTTATAGTATCGCTTCATTTTTAGCAGTTTTTGGTCAATTCCTTATACTTGCTTATATTTGTTTTTCCGAAACATGTTAGGTGTTATCTTGTCGTACCTAGAAGAGTTCCTACTGAGAAATGTAAATATATCATAACAAACAATAAAGATAACTTTGTTGCACAAAAAGATTTTATCATTTTCGTAGATATATATTGAGGATTTGATGTTAAAAAAACTTTTTTCCCATACCGGGAGTCAAACCCGGGCCGCCTGGGTGAAAGCCAGGAATCCTAACCGCTAGACCATATGGAATATTACAAGAGGCGAAGGGCTTAGATATCATTCTATAAAATGTTTAACAAGAATGTTGTCTTTCTTTCCAACGACTTTCAAGTGCATTATTTATGCAACGCAAGATTTATTGATGGCAATTAAATCCAAAACATCAACTAGGTGATAAAGATACGGCATAATATTCAAGTATTTCGAAAATGAAAGAAAAAAAAAGGAAAAAGAAATTGTTGGAATTGTTTAATCTTGTCAATCAGAGAGCCATTGTTTAATCTTATTAATCAAATGTTATCACGTGATAGCTAAGTAAATGCAAATCTTGTTAAAATTTCTTATCTCTTGCAGTTTGGATCCTGTTCCTTCATTTGTGTTTGGAAAATGTAGTGACATTCTTGTGTCTTTTCTAACATGTTTGGTAAATCACTGTCTAACCAATGGAATAATGCCTGATGCTTTAAAAATTGCCAGGATTACACCCATATTGAAGAAATCYGGAGCCGACTGTGAACAGCTTGTGAATTTTCGTCCTGTGTCGAACTTGAAATTCACCTCTAAGTTGATGGAGAAGGTCGTCGCTGTTCAACTTAATCAATATCTGAATGACAATTGTCTTTTAGAGGAATTCCAATCTGCCTACAAGGTTTCTCACAGCACAGAAACGGCGCTCTTGAAAATCCAAAGTGACATCCTTATGTCCATTGATAATGGCAAAGCAGTGGTCTTGGTGTTCTTGGATATGTCGGCCGCGTTTGATACAGTAAATCATAAGATCTTACTGTCAAGACTGTCTGAGAATTTTGGAATAAAAGGAATGGTATTGAAGTGGTTCAATTCATATCTGACAAATAGGAAACAGTTTGTCGCAATCAATAACGCTGTCTCTTCTGTTTGGGATCTAAATGTTGGAGTACCTCAAGGATCAGTGCTTGGTCCGGTTCTGTATGTTTTGTATACGTCCCCGGTAGCTGACATCATCAGGAGCTATGGGCTGAGTTATCATTTCTATGCGGATGATTCCCAACTTTACATTGCCTTCAGTCATAAGTCGCATCAACAGCTTTTGTACGCAAAGGAATGCATTGAGAAGTGTGTTGCAGATATTCAAAGGTGGATGCAAGCAAATGATCTGAAGTTGAATCGAGATAAAACTGAAATTATGCTAATTCACTCTAAATTTAAAGCCTACATTGACCCACCGATCATTCAAATTGGTGATGATGCGATTGATGTTTCCTCAACTGCCACAAACCTTGGTTTTAAATTTGATAAGTTCCTGTGTAGCCATGAACAAATCAAGCAAGTCTGTAAGTCCTCATTCTATTTCATCCGGAACATTGCTAGAATTAGAAAGTTTCTTACTGATTCTTCTACAGAGAGTGTGATT